ATCTCTGTAGGTGTAGTAAAAAAAAATATTCACAGATTATATCCAAAATCAAATTTTTGATGAACCTGTTTGAAAATTATGGCCGATTCTCACTAATGAAGCCAATTCATTCTAAAAAAATCTGAATTAAAATGGGAGTTAATGGGGGGCCTGTTAAACTATTAAGAGTATAATATAAAATGACGAGTACTATATATCTTTATTTTAGTTTGTAATTATAAAAACATTTGCGCCATGCATTGAAAAATCAAAACCCGCCGCCCCTAGCTCACGGACGGACTTCTTTGCAGATAACAACTAGTAAATTAGGACTAGGACTTAAAACTCACTGGTCACTAGTACATTAATATATGAGTATACTTTACCTGTCTACAACCAACTAAATAATGGCTCTACAAATAGCAGCTATAAAATAAATTAACCTCCAAAAGTGAAACACCAAATATAACTAGCCATTAAAAAAAAAATCGTACCCCAAATAATATTTTTATTTATTATGCGGACAAACAAAAATGTAAAGCTCAAACCATCCCTCAAGTACATCCCTACTTCATAGTCACGTCCTAACTTTTTAAGCTCATTTTATTTTCTTTCTGGGCATTTGCATAAAAGAGGCTCGTGTGTGACAAACTTTATTATTAACGTATGCAAATTTCAAACTAACTACAGAAAGTTTTTGCATTACTATCGCGCGTTGTATCAAATTCTTAAATTATATACTGAAAGTGGAGGTTAACGTCGCATTTAGGTCGGTTGCAGTTATTATTTAATAAAAAATTATTGAAGTAAAAAAATGAGTTATATTTTAGGAAGATAGCGCAGACAGCTTCGTATTTTTCCTATTAACGATTTTTTTGTTTTTGATATGCTAATTTTTTTATTCGACAATAACTGAATCCACGGTTTAGACATGCCATAATTTGGATTTCAATCGGTAGATAATACTTTGCGAATTCGAAAATTATTTTATTTAGAAAAATGTCTTATCCTTCTTTACGTATTTTCATTTCCCTTGCAGCTGTTATTCCATAGATAAATAAAGGGAGATGGTTTGACTTATTTCCTTGTTTGTAGGTTAACTTAATGTACGTCGCGGTCCGGTTGCATTGGTTGCGGGTCGCCTGGTCAGTTTTTGTGCGAGGGGGGAGAACACAACTAGGTACAGCAACGTTGTGAATGGGGTAGAGCTATGAATGGTAATTATTCATAGCTTCATCCCCATAAGGGTCACTTACCCACTACAATCATATTGTTACCCATTGACCTAAAGTCTGCTGCGGTCGTCATAAGTAAAGGTACGAGTAATAGAAGAAGGGAGAATATTCGAGAAATATCGAGAAATCTCATTTTACATTAAGAAACATCTGGACGTTCGGAAGGGTTCAAGAAGGTTAAATCAAGCTATAAAAGTTGATGATCCTGGCGTCAGTCAATCAGTTTTATAATATACGTTATACTTTAATGTTATCAGTTGTGAAAAACTGAGATACCAAAAGCCAGCGTAACATAAGTGACAGCGGTGGGATACAAAATAAAAGTATATGATAAATACTAGATCCACTGAGTACGAAACAGGCATGGATACTTCAGGTCCCCCAGCAATATTTTTAAAGATTAAAGAGGAAAAAGAAAAGCGCCGGAAGGAAGAAGGGGAGCAGAAGGAAAAGAGGAGTAGAAAAGAAGCGGTTAAAATTATAAATGGTTTTCTACAAATCCAGGAAACTTTAAGCAAGAGGTTAGTCCGCTTAACATTCGAGTAGATATTTTAGAGTAATATCGAAAGCATTTAAAAACTAATTTAGAACAACAATAAGAGAATTTAAAAAACAGGAAAAGGCTAGAGTAGAATTAGAAAGACAGATTCGAACTAAAATGGTTGAGTTAGGAAGAATTATTGCGTCAAAAGAAAAGAACTTTTAGCTATTGTCAAAGCCCTTGAACATTTCCATACTTACCATTTTAACACAAGTTATATCATTAGACATGACCATAGCGCCTTGCAGTGGCTGATGAATTTTAAAAAACCTGAAGGACAAGTTACTAGATGGATAAAAAGACTGCAACAATATAACTTCGAGATAGTGGATCAAAGGGGCCGTCTCTATAGCAACACAGATATTCTTTCCACTCGACCCTGTTTAGAACGACAATGCCGATACTGTGAAAAGCTTGAAGAACAAGAGGAGCTGGTTGAAAAAGTTAGCCTTCAGGCGATCACTATCAAGCCTGAGGATCACGAAGAAGGAATCCCCCTTGAAAGTCTAAGAAAGACTCAAATCAAAGACACTGACTTGACTTGAAGGTTGTCCGAGAATGGGTCAAAAATGGAGTCAGGTAGTTCACATTGAAAAGTTAGCGCCATATCGTGGTCCAGATCCTCCCCGTTGGCTGCAACCAGGTTCCAGTAATCAAATTATTCAGAACGAATAACTGGAAAAGGGGAGCAATGGAACCCATCCCCCTACAGTGTGCTGCGGTTGTCATAAGTAAAGGTGCAAGTAAAAGAAGAAGGGAGAATATTCGAGAAATGTCATTTCACGTCAAGAAATATCTGGATGTTCGGGAAGGTTCTAAAAGGTTAAATCAAGCTGTGATAATGACCTAAATAAAAAGATGAGCAACGGCTTTTTTAGGCCATCGACTTTTTATTAATGGGGACCTTTTATTAGCTCATTAACCTAATTTTCACTCAGTTTGTGTACTATTTATGTACTATTTATGTACTATTTATGTACTATTTATGTACTATTTATGTACTATTTATGTACTATTTATGTACTATTTATGTACTATTTATGTACTATTTATGTACTATTTATGTACTATTTATGTACTATTTATGTACTATTTATGTACTATTTATGTACTATTTATGTACTATTTATGTACTATTTATGTACTATTTATGTACTATTTATGTACTATTTATGTACTATTTATGTACTATTTATGTACTATTTATGTACTATTTATGTACTATTTATGTACTATTTATGTACTATTTATGTACTATTTATGTACTATTTATGTACTATTTATGTACTATTTATGTACTATTTATGTACTATTTATGTACTATTTATGTACTATTTATGTACTATTTATGTACTATTTATGTACTATTTATGTACTATTTATGTACTATTTATTTACCTATTATGTACTATTTATGTACTATTTATGTACTATTTATGTACTATTTATGTACTATTTATGTACTATTTATGTACTATTTATGTACTATTTATGTACTATTTATGTACTATTTATGTACTATTTATGTACTATTTATGTACTATTTATGTACTATTTATGTACTATTTATGTACTATTTATGTACTATTTATGTACTATTTATGTACTATTTATGTACTATTTATGTACTATTTATGTACTATTTATGTACTATTTATGTACTATTTATGTACTATTTATGTACTATTTATGTACTATTTATGTACTATTTATGTACTATTTATGTACTATTTATGTACTATTTATGTACTATTTATGTACTATTTATGTACTATTTATGTACTATTTATGTACTATTTATGTACTATTTATGTACTATTTATGTACTATTTATGTACTATTTATGTACTATTTATGTACTATTTATGTACTATTTATGTACTATTTATGTACTATTTATGTACTATTTATGTACTATTTATGTACTATTTATGTACTATTTATGTACTATTTATGTACTATTTATGTACTATTTATGTACTATTTATGTACTATTTATGTACTATTTATGTACTATTTATGTACTATTTATGTACTATTTATGTACTATTTATGTACTATTTATGTACTATTTATGTACTATTTATGTACTATTTATGTACTATTTATGTACTATTTATGTACTATTTATGTACTATTTATGTACTATTTATGTACTATTTATGTACTATTTATGTACTATTTATGTACTATTTATGTACTATTTATGTACTATTTATGTACTATTTATGTACTATTTATGTACTATTTATGTACTATTTATGTACTATTTATGTACTATTTATGTACTATTTATGTACTATTTATGTACTATTTATGTACTATTTATGTACTATTTATGTACTATTTATGTACTATTTATGTACTATTTATGTACTATTTATGTACTATTTATGTACTATTTATGTACTATTTATGTACTATTTATGTACTATTTATGTACTATTTATGTACTATTTATGTACTATTTATGTACTATTTATGTACTATTTATGTACTATTTATGTACTATTTATGTACTATTTATGTACTATTTATGTACTATTTATGTACAATTTTTGTACTATTTATGTACAATTTTTGGACTATTTATGTTCAATTTGTATATTATTTCTGTACTGCTTACGTACTATTTGCATGCCATTTCTATACAAGTTGGAGCATAATGTCTACAATTTTTCTAGCGGTTTCCCCTTGTTTTTAATTATGCTTACAATTTTGGGTATTTGCTAACATTTATTTGTGTTTTTTACGAGTTTTTTAAATGGAGTATTGTGTCTAGAGAGATGAAGATTTTAATTTAGTTAAGAGTTCTTCAAAGTAAAAATATTTTCAGATTTATTGCTAGCTTCCAATAAATAAATTGATTACAAAATTCATCATAATTGCCGTTTTGATTTTTACCGTTATTAAACTATCGCATACCTATATTTTTTGTTTTTACAACGATTTCGAATTGTGTTCATGAATAATATCAAAACTTGACATTCTTTTTCAGATTTAAGATTGGTACCTAAATATTTCAAACTCAAAGATCTAAATACATAACATAAATCTCCCAGAAACTGGCAAACAGAAGAGAATATAACGAAATACAAAAAATAGGTTCCTACTGGTAAATTTTTTACTTTTATAATTAAAACCAGTGCTGTTATGAATATAATTATGTAACTGAAAATGAATTAGTTTTTGAATTATATACTACAGAAGTATAAAAAGTATATTTTTGAGAAAAAAGTAATTACCTTGAATAGTTCGACCTATTCAATTTTCTATCATGGGGTCGACTATTGTAAAAAAGTGGTTCTGCCTCGGTACTATTTTCTTGGAGCTGGTTGGAATTTTGACCTCGGACGTTGGTCCTGTAGTTATCTGTAGTGGAAGTTGGTTGCTAGAAAAATTAAAAAAATATATGTATATTTTGTTATGTTGATAAGTTGGTACAGAGTGCGGCAGAATGGAGGTAGAGGAATTCTGAGGTGAGAATTTCGCTAAAATTTTATATACACTCAAAAGTAACAAGTTTCTATAGTAAAAATTCGAAAAAAAAAAAAATTGGATAAATCAGTATTTTTCGAAAAAAACTTAAATAAAAATCCCTATTTTACAACTGTACATACTTATTAGAAAAATTAAAAAGTAAAATAAATGAAATTACTTTCTTTCGCTTAGCTCTGGTCTCATCAGCTAAGCTGTACGGCTTGAACACATACGGCCTGAGTACTAGCGTCTGACCTAGTTCGTGACTTTTAACAAACTTATCTTCGTGGCGTATATCTAATAATGCACTAAATTCCCATGGCAAACTAACAGTTATATAGAATCAGAAAAAGAAAATATACAACAAGAGGACAAAGCAACGACTTCTTGTAGGATGGCCGCTTTCCCGCCATCTGAAAATATCAACCTATACCTGGCTACGCGGACCGGTATAGACTCCAACGGCATGACACAACTCAAATTAAACGAATGTAATAATATATTTCCTTGTAGTTCACCAATAACCAATAATCATTATTTATATTTTATTTGATTTCTTCTCTTTCAAACAAGACATTAAAATTTAACAATATAGTATGGCAACGTTGCAAACTTAAGTACCTTATGTGTCAAGAATTGACATTTTCATGAATTACTTAATTTAATGCTTTGTGGAAGAAAATGATAAAAAGTTAGGTTAAATCAGTCAATTTTCTATATTTAATTTTAGTTAAAATATTATGAAAAGTAGGTTACTTGAATACGCGTATAATAGTGCTAAAATTTCGAAATTACCACCTCAGGATAGTAGGATGAAATCGCAGAATAATTTATTCAAACTGACTAGTCAAAATCCCTCTTATTTATCTATCCATCTATCTGAATTGTGGCGTGGTTCAAAGCACACTCATACTGAAGCTTTAGGCTTATTGTAGCCCTACAGATTCTACCCCATCAGACAAATTTTCTTGATGAATTCAAGAATATGTCTGATGGGCGCTTCTGCGTTTTCTTCAGGTTCCAGATATTCCCGTTCCCATTTAAGGTTCCGCTAGTGGCATAGTATGTGAATAGGAGTTTCGTCGTCCTTTTCACATATTCTACATAGGGAGTTATCAGATATTCCTAAGATATTAAGGTGTCTTTTAAGGCAGCAGTGTCCCGTAAGGAGTCCCATTACGGCCTTGAGTTCGCTTCTGCTAAGGTTTAGCAGTTGATTTTGTCTGCTCTTGGATGGACCCTTTATGAATCGTTTGAACTGTATAAGTCCAGGAAGTTCCAACCAGATCCTATGGTGTTCTCTATTTATTTGTTCCGTTAACACATTTAAAATATTGATATGAAATACCACCTGTGGGTTCTGCTCCAATTAGTTTTTCCGCTCCCTTTCTTGCTAGGAGATCTGCTTTCCCGTTTTCAAACACTCCCTTATATCTCGGCACCCATTCAAGGGTGACCTTATTATGTTCTGTCATTGCCTGGAGGGACTGTTAGCAATCAAGTATTAATTTATATTGTACCTCTACCCTTTTCATTGCTTTAAGGGCTGTCCGACTGTCATGATAAAGACCCTCTTATCTCTAAAAGAGTCATTTAGCATAACTTTGGCGCAGGCATTTATTGCTGTTACTTCAGCCTGAAAGGCTGTTGTAAGTGACCCCAGGTTCAAACTAATGGTCCTCCCTGAGTTCACATGGTAAATCCCAGCTCCTGTGCTGTTTTTTATTTTCGAACCGTTTGTATACGATTGATTCGTTTTGTTTTCCCTTATTTTTCCGGCTTTTTGCCCTTTCTGGTATTTGAATATCGAAAGGTTTCCTGAAGTCATGAATGTTTTATCCGATGACATTCCTAATACCGAATTTTGTTTTAGTTTCTTTAATATCATTGTGTGTTGTCCTTTTCTCAAAAGTTCCCATCCAATTTCATTAGTAAATAGTCTGTATGCCACCGCCATAGCCTCCTTCTCTACCAAAAGGTGTAATTCAGGAAGCCCTAGCAGTAGCCCCATTGCTGCAGTGGGTGTAGTTCTAAATGCCTCTGTTATTATTAGACAGGATAGTCTTTGTACCTTGTTTAATTTTCTGTTAGCTGTTATGCTTTTAGTCTTGTGATCATCGCCAACAGGAAGGTTTAGTGGATTTTACACCGGGCGGGCCAAACGAAAGGTAGAGTGTAGTTCATTTCTACACCAGTGGGATGAACGAAAGAACCTATATTGAAATAAAATGCTTGTCCAAGGCCAAAAAATGCTTTTAATAATTGTGAGTGACCTTCTTCAAAACTAATTCATATTAATTATTACGTAAATTGGTTATGTAGGTTATGTTGCTACTGTAGATAGTTGCAATTAATCATGGTTTGGAATAAACATTTGCTGACTACTTAGGTTGTTCGTAAGAGGAAATTTTAAAATATTAAATTTAAAATTAAATAAAAGAAGTCCTTAAAAGTAATAAATTGAATTTAATAATAATATAAAACATAGTAATGTTTAATAGTATATTATGCAACGATCATGTAATGATGGTTATTAATACACGAGCATTAACCGGGATACGAAACGAGCCAAAGGCGAGTTTCGTATGGTCTATGCGAGTGTTTTAATAACCATTACATGAGAGTTGCATACGCTATTTTTTCTACACCCGATAAATAATCAAGACCTATAAATATTATATTTATATTGGTATTGAACACAATAACAGTAATTACTCGTATTTCTATAAAAAATTCTACAAAATTGTAATTAATGATATTACTTTGGGTATTGGTATTTCCCTAGAGTTTTGCTGCAAAATATTTTGTACTGTATTTTCTGCTTTCTTTGATATGTGTGGAAGAGTCTTCTATATCGCTGATATGAGACATTTTAATATTATAATTATCGAAGTTTAGCTATCTACGAAAATTTAATACGTTTTGACAACTAAAACAATTACATAGAAACCTAGGACAAACGTCAAACAGCATGCTTGATTGAAAAATAGTAGGTTTCTATTGATTAAAAATCTGTATCGTAATGAAAAATCTGTATCATAATGGGTATCATTATGAAACGGATTATGGGCATATAAGTGCATTATTATAATACGGGTGTAGAAAAAATGTTTTAAGAGACTGTTCCGGTTCATTTTTTGAAATGACTGGTGATTTCTTCCAAAATCAGTAATGGTTTGGTTCCATGAGGCTAGGATTCGCTTTCAAGGAAGAACAAATGACTAAAATAAAATATGTTAATTCACTTTTTAATCGAAGTTATACCTAGTAAGTTTTCCACTTTTTTTTTCAACCTACAAGAGGTGAATATTTTTTTAGTGCCTAATTTCTGCATTTTTAAAAAGTATATCAATTATGTTTCTATGTATATTTATGATGTTTTTCTCTGTTAAACAAGGTGTCTAATTTTTACATAAATTAATAAAGGTACTTTAATTATAACCAAACATTTCTAGAAATTCCTGAAATATCAAGTGTCCGTTATATTTGAACTCTTTTTAAACCTATGTAACTTTTGAACTAGTTGAGGTAATAAAATGTAGTTTTCATCACTCTTCTTCTAATTTTTATATTTATTTCTGTGTGTTCATATTTTTTTGGCTTACTTCCAATCTAAACAAATATGATATGTCATATTTTGTTTCAAATAGAATATCTTGTATATTTTTCTCAATTTATTAAAAGGCCAATATTTCCCCTTTTTACAAGTGCCATTACTTCGTAGAGTAATACTATAGGATATGATTTCATTCGCTTTTAAAATAAATACTGTCATGTACATGTTACTTCAGTTGATATTTTTTAAGATGTACATATGAAACTCGATCTAACAAAGAGTAAAATATAACTTTATTGAACAATGAAAAAGTTTTTATTTTTAAGAGCTTATAAAACCATTACCCTTTATAACAATTATGAAATTATGGCATTATGGAAAAGGGAAACAGTGGGCTATTGAATTGAGAAAAATAAATCGTAATAATAGTTGCCCTATCTCTAAAAATACAGAATGTTATTTTTGCTTAAGCCAGATGGTGGGCAAAAAAAGGCACAGACACAGAAACAAACATATAAAAATTAAAAGAAGACTGGTTAAAACCGCATTTCTTTATTTCAACTAATTCAAAAGTAACATGGTTTTAGAGTGGTTCAAAATGTAATGGAACACCTGGTATAGAAACAATGAAATCCTGAGAGTTTAAAGCGTATTTATAATGATATGTTTGATAAAAGTTTAAATTTAACAGTGTAAGTCAAGTGTGATTTTGAAAATTTTTGAGATAATTCGTTAATAAAAGTTCTTAGATAATATTGAAACTTGAAATAAGTTTTTAATTGTATGTTAACAATAAGTTAATTTTGTAAGTTTCCATAAAGTATGACATAATAAGTTTAGAGTGAGGCAGATTCAAACTTGCCGAAAACTATCAATAAATATTTCACAAACTTGCAAGGAAACTTGCACTTATATTTGTAAGTTTGCAATACATTTGCAGCGAATGTATTTTGCTTAGTGGGTATGTTTTCACATTTTTATTTGTATTATCGTGAGAGACCGGTTCTGCTCTATAGGGAGACGCCCAGTCTACATCGATACATCCGAGAGAATACCAGAAAGCTTTTGACTCATAAAGCAAGGGTTTTCACTTTGTCCTCAACTTTCTTAAAATATCGTATCGTATCGTCGTTGCGTCTGTGATGTTTAGAGAGTTGAAGATAAAGCGAAAAGCCTTGCTTTATAAGTCAAGAGCTTTCCGGTATTTTCTCGGATCTATCTATGTAGACTGGGCGTCTCCCAATAGAGCAGGAGCGGTGTCGCATGACAGTATTCATTATTCGATAATATTCCAGCAAAATAGGAAAAAATTAGAAGTATATAACACCCTAGACAGATTTTAACATGTATTGAGGCTGGTGCACAAACAGAGCAGCATAAGATATATTTACTTAACTGCAACTACGTTTCCATAGATCATCAGAAGGACGTCAGACATATGCGTATTAAAAATAGTTCGTTTCTACAAAGCTACGGATAATCCGATGAACTGTCAGTAAAAAGTTCCAACGTATTTTTGTTTGGTACATGAATGTGTCGGTGGATTGTCAAAACGATGAGAGCATCGCTTGTAAAATTTATGAGTACATGCGCATTTGAGCGTCTCTTCTCGTTCGAGCTATTTATTTGTTATTGATGTGATTTTAAGTTAATTTTGAGTGGCTTGGATTTTTATTTCTTTCAATTAATGTTTCAGAGTTATACATTTAAATAAATCGCTCGCTAAATAAATGTATCATGTTGTATTTTATATGTTTTAAATACCTATTCACCCAAGATGTGGTTGGTTAGTCCAATTCCATTTCATTTTGCGTTCCAACAAGTACAAGTCGCTGATAAAACAATGCACGAATAAACGGACTGACATGCGCAGTAGTTAGTTTAAGAATGCACCCATACACCAGTCAGAGACTCATCAGTTCGAGCGGTGGTATCTTAAGGTGGGTTTAGACCTAACGAATATAGAGGTAGAACAAGAGCGTTGTTTGTACCTTTTCTGGTGTAAACATTCATTCGTTTTCACCATTTATACCAAAAGATTACCAATGAACAAGAATAACAACAACAAGAACTAGAATATTTAGATGGCCCAACTAGGTATACTATGTCTGACTCTGAGAATGATATTGTAAATGCATTTTCTACATTTATCGAAGAGTCAATCTTTTTTTTTTACTTTCTCGGTACTACATTCTAGAAAGTTTGTTATTTCCTGTTAAACATCTTGCTTGTAATTTTTTTTTATAATTTTCTGAAGTATTATCCCACAGCTACATTTTTCTATAGAACCATCCATAATAAAATGAAAATATTTATTCGGTAGATTTGCTAGAACACCAGAAAGCTTTGAAGAGATCGCTTCGAAGACGTTTGAACACAAAAGAGTGCTGTAGGCCAGTCTATGCAACTGTCCGCATGCTTGTGCGCTGTTTACATCAAGTAGGCGAGCATTTCATAGAATCTTTACACAAAAAGAATTTAATAGCTTCGTGCTGTCAAAACATTTTATCAAAAGGGTAATTCTTACGAGTAGACGCGTTGTACTTTCCAGAGCCATTACAACATTTTGCAGAAAAGTATATTATTATTAAGTTAGATTTGGATGGTAAGATGAAATTAAAAATAATCCCCCTTACCTGATGATGCCTCCTATGAACATCTGGACTCAAATGCTGCTGGTGATTCTGCACGGCTCCGAGCATCTGCTGATTGTAGGCATTCGGGGTGTCCGCTCTTTCAGAAGAATTCTCCCTGGAAGTCTCCAAAGAGCGCTGGGGGGTGTTGATTTGGTAAGCGGCCGATCGGAATTGCGAGGCGGAAGAGTTAGGGTGTTGCCCTACGGGGTAATTGAGGTCGGACGTATAATCGCTATCCTCGCTATACCCCGCTGAAATGTCATTTTCAAAGTGATTATCATGAGCTGGAAAAAGAATAAGGGGAAATCGTCAAGAAGCATGCTGCAGGTGAAAGAGGAAATTGTTGAGGTGTGCTGCTTTTAGCTAGTTCAAGAACCTATTTGCAATAACATACCGATCGATCTAAAGTCCCAGATTAAAATTTAAAAAAATATATATAAAATTTGGTTGATTTCTACGCAGTAAGGTATTTTGCAAAATTCTTTTACGTCCTCTGATTTTTAATTTTATTTATATCTTTAAATTATTTTTGAAAATAATATTCATATGAGGTATGTACGCGGAACCAATCCTGAATATATTCTGAACGCTAACACTGCAAATTATAACTGGAATTTTTTTTAAATGTTTATGTGGGCGTGTAGGATTTACCTTAGCGTTCAGAATACGTTCGGGATCGGCTCGGCAAAAATAGTTATTATGAATTATATTCCCAGTTTGGTGTACTTTGATGTGCTTGACAGTCAATAGGTTCTTTCGTTCGCTATTGGTGAAGTGTACACCAGTGTAAATTACACCAGTTACACCACTTTATTTACCTTAGTTTACTTCCCTCCTTATTCCTTATATACATGTCGAGTGTAATTCACTCCTGCTAAATAGCTGGTGGAGAAAATATCCACCAGTGGATACCACATCGCCGACAGGAAGGTTTAGTGGATTTTACACCGGGCCGAACGAAAGGTTTAGTGTACGTTGGTGTAGTTCATTCCTACACCAGTGGGACGAACGAAAGAACCTAATGTCGCGATGGTCTAGAGGTTAGGGCATTTGTGTAGATAGCAAAGATATCTAGGATCGAATCCTGGCGCTGATAGGCTTTTTTTAAATCTCCAAGTATGTGTTTTCATCTTTAAGGTTCGTGGATAGTCTTAATAATTCATAGGGGGATTTTTGAGATTTATTTCCAAATTTTCAAATGTATTCTTCAACTTATTTCAGATAATTTTGACTTTTCAGATTTCGATTTGCCATCTACGAAATATTAAATTTATTTTTGAAATGTGTTCAATAATTATGTAAAATATCAAATTAATAAAAATTTTTAATGTCTATTTTCACAACAATTTCAATTTTGCTTGTAACAATATGGATATGGATTATTGTTATCTTGTACATATACAAATGGTGTAAAATAGTAATTTTCTCACTATGTATTAATAACATAAACACACACCTAACAATTAACAGGATGTAAACAGTTCTGCCATAGTTCTCATAATCCGACTTTCCTATAAAGACTCTCCTTTCGACAAAAACATTGTTTTCGCACCCTGTTCACCGAGAAGGAAGGACATTTTTATATTCAAAGATTCGGAAAAAAGATTGGCTTATGTGGTGTCTCCAGTCAAGGTCAATTTTTTCCCGTCAGTGGAGCACCGCTGAACATGCACAGGCATCGTCTATTTTTTAAATTAAATTTTATTTTAATTACAATATTAACATTTAAAAAAAAATTTTGACTGGTCCTTCCATAAACCTCACTTTACGGGAACTGCATCAGGTGATTATTAAAATATTACCATTGATTGTAAGAATTTTAGAGGGGGCATAGTCCGCATGGATCCCTCTGGAACGGCTTATGGTACGTTGGAATTATCTGCATATTTTAGAAAATTAGGCTAAAATATTTCCTGTATGTTTTTTATAACGTCTATTATTTTCGGTTCTTGACAATTTAAAATTCTAAATAAGAATGGATTAGAGGCCTATGCTCCAAGTAGGTACTTTCTTAAATAGTTCATCCTTTTTAAAAATAGTCAATTTACATCTTCAAAACCCTGTATATCAAAAACTAGTCATAGCATGGAGTTAGGCCTTTGAATGTTTTTATACACAAATTTATGTTTTTTATCGAGTACCATTTTTCTATATGGAAAGTGTGAAGTGTTTTGCTCCCTCCTGTCGGCGGCCATAAGTAAATCCAGTTAATTCTTACTGTATTTACTTCATAGAAGAGGGCTTAATAGTCCAGGTTTAATAGTCCAGGTTTAATCGTCGTATTTGTATCGGAAACTATTCCGACGAAATTTGTTTGTTAAACGAAATTGCTTGAATAATTCTTAAGAAATATTTTTAAGACAGAAAAAATGTTATTCATATTCTTTACTATAAGGTAAATAAAAAATGTCCCAAAATTTTTTTTTAATATAGTTAATATTTTAGAAAATATTTTTTTTTTATTTTAAAAATCACAATTTTGATGAATTTTAATGGCTTATAAATGTCTAAAAATATCTGATATGAAATAAATTGTTTAATGTCATATAATTTGTGTAGACTTATAAAGCGTTAACATTCGCCAAAGTTTTAATAATTTCGTTTAAAACAAAATAGAACCACATTGTCCATGACACCTTGCATTTATATTAGTATATTACACACCGAGGTGGGAAGAGTTTCATTCCCATCGTGAGATTAATTAGATCACCGAGACGCGAAGCGTCGAGGTTAGCTATGATCTCGAGACAGGAATGAAACTTCCTACCGAGGTTTGTATACTATTTTATTTACAACCATCATATTTCGATCAAAGTTAATAAATCTCTGTTTTGTTCTGAACATACCTAAACTATTACATTTAACGACAAATTACCAAGCGAGCGGTTTTCTCAGAATAATCAAGTAGGTAAATATATTGTTACTGTGATTACAGGGTGAACAACTGTCACCAATATAAATAAATGTCAGATAAAGCCGGATATTAAATTCGCGAATAATAAATATCAATAAGTAATTTGTTATATTTTAGTTCATTGTTGTTTTTTACTGTTTGCCATTAAATAGGTATTATAAAATTTGTCAAAAAACTGTGTTATTTTTTTTAAATATATAAAATATTCATCTAGAATAGATAAAATGAGGGCGGGAAGTGAGGGCGGGAAGTGAGGGCGGGAAGTAGAGGTGTGTAATGTGACACTTCTTAACCTTTAATAACGTTAGTAATGACAACATTGCATACATGGTTGTAAATAAAATATTTTACATATTTTTAAAGGATTCTGATAAAAAAATTGCGTCGCAATAGTTTTCGATACCCATGCGCTGATTCACCATAGACTATGACTCATTTTAAACTTATATTTATATTTAAAATTAATATTTTTTAAGATTTTGTAGCCTTTTATTTTCCAGCCGAACCGTGTAAATTGTGTGTTCATATATTTATAAGCAAAGACGGAATCCATAACAGCCCTCGGTTCTCTCGTAACTCAAGAGGCTCTTAAGTTTTCTTTGAGTATTAAAGTATTCCCTTTGTATTTTAAAGGTAAAATTAATGCAGTAAGCAAATTTATGCTTCTCTTTTGGAATTAGATCACTGGCTGTTAGGAGATTGATCTTTTGTGTGAATGAGACACATTTTACTTCATTAAATACCGGAATATTGCGCTTCTTCAATAAAAGCTTTTAATTAGGAAGCTTGTACAAATTTATAATTAATGTCGAGTGTGTTACTTGGATTTTATTTTGTACTTTCCTATCTGTATACAGATAAGGATATAGGAATCATGATTTTTTTCGACCTCGAGTTTTCGACGGTTTTTACATTTTGGAGTCCCCTGAATCCTTTTTGACTATTTTCGTGTGTGCGTATGCGTGTGTGTATGCGTATGCGTGTGCGTGTGCGTGTGCGTGTGCGTGTGCGTGTGCGTGTGCGTGTGCGTGTGCATGTGCGTGTGCGTGTGTGTGTGTCTGTATCCTCGATAAACTCCTGAACGAATACAAAGAAAAACACCAAATTTTAAACTTAAGCTTTATTCCAGCCTTCAATGAACTGATAAGATTTTAGGCAGAGTCGTACTACTTTAGAGGTGATCATTTTTATATTTTATGGAATATATCTGTTATTTACGTTTGGAGAAGAACATTTTTTAAATAAAAGTTACTTAAAATAATATTATCTATAATTTTTGTTTTATACAAAATTTTCCGAAAATGGTCCGTATTCGAGAAATTTGACAAAATGTAAAAACATCAAATTTTAATGAAAATTGTTTTAATAACAGATGTTAGCGATATAATTCTCTATAACTTTTATTTAATACATAATTTCTCTTAAATGGACTGTATTCGAGATATAATCAATCAATCAGTAAATCAATCAGTAAATCAATCAGTAAATCAGTCAGTAAATCAATCAGTAAATCAATCAGTAAATCAATCAGTAAATCAATCAGTAAATCAATCAGTAAATCAATCAGTAAATCAATCAGTAAATCAATCAGTAAATTGGTAAATCGGTGAATCGGTAAATCGTTAAATCGGTAAATCGTTAAATCGGTAAATCGGTAAATCGGTAAATCGGTAAATCGGTAAATCGGTAAATCGGTAAATCGGTAAATCGGTAAATCGGTAAATCGGTAACTCGGTAACTCGGTAAATCGGTAAATCGGTAAATCGGTAAATCGGTAAATCGGTAAATCGGTAAATCGGTAAATCGGTAAATCGGTAAATCGGTAAATCGGTAAATCGGTAAATCGGTAAATCGGTAAATCGGTAAATCGGTAAATCGGTAAATCGGTAAATCGGTAAATCGGTAAATCGGTAAATCGGTAAATCGGTAAATCGGTAAATCGGTAAATCGATTTAATCAGTAAATCAGTAAATCAGTAAATCAGTAAATCAGTAAATCAGTAAATCAGTAAATCAGTAAATCAGTAAATCAGTAAATCAGTAAATCAGTAAATCAGTAAATCAGTAAATCAGTAAATCAGTAAATCAGTAAATCAGTAAATCAGTAAATCAGTAAATCAGTAAATCAGTAAATCAGTAAATCAGTAAATCAGTAAATCAGTAAATCAGTAAATCAGTAAATCAGTAAATCAGTAAATCAGTAAATCAGTAAATCAGTAAATCAGTAAATCAGTAAATCAGTAAATCAGTAAATCAGTAAATCAGTAAATCAGTAAATCAGTAAATCAGTAAATCAGTAAATCAGTAAATCAGTAAATCAGTAAATCAGTAAATCAGTAAATCAGTAAATCAGTAAATCAGTAAATCAGTA